GGATTTGACCTTGTCAAAATTTTCTGAACCTAAGTGTGGTGGATTCCAGTCAATTTTGTGCATTGTTGAGACATAGTCGTTTGAGTTGGGTGTTGGTTCTGCCTGTTGTTCACAAACTGATGGGTGATCGGTCCGGTATACTTTGGTGATCTGAGGTTTAGGTTTTGCGGAGTCTGCAGCCACAACCACCCGAATAGGTCTTGAAGGATCCCATGGAATTTTCTCGCCATTGGGAAGGTAGAAATCACGTCCTTCTTTCTTGACTAGTCCTTCTCGTTCATCTTTCTGTGCTTCGTAACACATTATGGTTGAATGTCCTTCCTTATGACAATAGTAACAGGGTCGAGGTTCATAAAGTCGTCCAGATGGTCGATCATTTCCACGAGAATATTCATTTTTAGGCTGATTCTCCAATTTTCCTGCGAGTGATTCAATTGCTTTTGCCAAGCTATCAACCTGTTTCTGAAGTACTTCCGGAGGATTGTCGTCCATCATCTTCTCACGCTTTTTTCTGTCGCCTTTCTTCTGGTCCAGAGTACTTTGCATCGATTGGTTGGCCTCGGCGAATCCACTAGCTGCAAAGACATTGAGTGACCTTGCTCGAATTTCATCCTCAGCTACATCAATGACATCCGAAAGGAGGGGTGGTTTGTTATAACCATCCTTCCCTGTAGGAATGAGGTCTGCCTTGACTAGCTCTCGATTAATGCTCGTCTGTATATCTGTTGAAAAAGCTAAAAAGAAAAGGTGAGAGACACTGGTTTCATTTACTATATGTTCATTTCTTACCAAATACTTAGTTATTATCATGAACTTTGACTGATAAGTTTTGAAATCGTTCAGCTGCTTGATTCCGCCTTTCTTCTGACAGAAATCAATCAAATTGTAAAGGTCCTTGATTGTGTACCGAATCTTCTTTGCCACGCCTCCCCAGATTTCTATCATGCTTGCACGAAGAAGTGTCCAGTTCCGCTGCTCGTATCCGTCCATCGATTCCAATTCCTTCTTCAATTCTTCTACCTTCACAAATCTACACACTTGACGTGCTTTGTCATATCCGCCAGCACCGTAGATTTCTGCCGCCAGTTCGAATCGTTCCAAAAAGTCTTCAAAGTTCTCGCCTTCATATCTTAAGTCTGGTTCCTTGATGATGACTGCAGGCCTAGGCATAGGCTCGTCCATTTCCTGAATGTCCGGAGGTAAGCCATAGGTTCCCGCAGGGTGGTTTGTTTGTTGAGTGTTCCCAGAGCCAGCTGGGTCGTCGTTTTGTTGATTGTTTTGATGAGCCCCATACCGTTCACAATAGTGCCGTACTCGAGTATGACTTGTTCGTATTGGTGGTGGGGGTAAAAGAGGTGGTATTATTGGTGGATCAATATTCATATTGGGATTGTTTTGATTGCCAGAGAATATTCCAGTTGAAGCTGGGTTGGTTGTTGGTAGAGTCGGTCCGTCTTGAGCCTGGGAAAACACCATGACTGAGAATAACTGATTCCGGTTGCTTTATCTTGAGTTGAGTTGTTGATAATTTCTAGTAGTAGTCCTAAATTCTTCTAACTAATTTCGCTGGCGTTCTTATCCAGGGCAAGGTTGGGGGGTTTTGGTTACTAACTAATAATAATACTAATAAAACTAAATAATATGATACTACTATTCAATTATATAGATTCGTGGAGGTTGTCATAGACTAGTATTCTACTTCGCACTGAGTTTTAATTGGCTACCACCTGGTAGTTAAACTTTTTTATCCTAACTACTCTAGTACGTCGGCTAATCGGTCCCCTCGTCTTCTACTTATAATTGATTCTTGAGTATTTAACTACTTAATCCGGAGTTCTACTAGGTATATCTAAGAACTAAGTCGTATAAAGCTAAACAAAATGTGATTATTTAAAGATATGGTTTGTCACGTGGTCAAAACAGGAATTTTCCTGCCTAAAACTAACTAAAATTCTACTAAAATAAACTATAAAAATCACTACAATGGTTTAGATATATCTAATCCACTTGCCAAACTTCAGGATCCTCTATCACGTTGGGGACTCCCTTGTAAAGCTCAAAAGTGTTTGTGAAAACCTTTTGCTGAGTGTGGAAAGGGATGAATGAGGATACCTCTGCCTTTCCTGGATCACTAGACACTAGACAAGCCCACCAATCTCAGATTGGAAGGTTTAATAAAGTGATAGTGGAGTGTATCAAAAGATAACTGTGGCTTAACAGGTGGACAAAGGGTTTAACCCAGTTTATAAGGGTCTAAAAGGTTGATTTGAGAGTGAGAGAGTGAGTCTAGCTGATATTTCAATGGTAAGGGGATGGTATGTAAGGGTTTGTAAGGGTAGGGGGTATGAAATAGGTGGATACTAAACTGAGGGGAAAACAACTGAGAGGAGAGCCTCTTAAATACACAAAGGTGAGGGATTTTAGCTTCAGGGGAACAAGAGAATGAGAGATTTTAGCTGGCCAGAGCTTTACAATGAGGGGATTTAGCTAGTCAGAACATGTACATGAGGTATTTTGGCTGGTTGAGCAACCTACATGATGTCATAAGAGTTATCTAGAAGTCTACATGAGGGTTTTATGCTGGTGAAGCCTTTTACATGAGGTGATGTACTAGTCTGCAAGCTAAGGTGATGTGATGAGTATTACATGAGTGATGTGAGATAGTCTGACAGCTGCAAGGAAGATTAACAAGTGACATAGCAACAGGACCAGCCTAGCAGCTACATATAGCAAGTGTCAGAAGATAGTGGAGTGGTGTGTATACATGTACTATAATGGTGTGAGAGTGTATGCAGTTGTCCTGCAATGTACATATGTATAGTGTGAGTTATATAATTTGTTGGTGTTGTTGAGTGTTGAAGTGTTGACATGGTGGTGAGTTGTGTAATTGAGTGTGGTGATGGTCCAGAGAGTGTAGCTTCCAATCCAGTTGAGTTCCAGTGACGCCTCCAGTGGTGACCAAGGGTGAAATTGACCGTAGAATCCAGTTCTTGAGCCATATTGGGTGATTTGTGAGTGTATATATGAGAAAAAAGGTGTAAAAAGTATGTAATTTGTAATAAAAGAAAAAACTAAAATTTTTAAATGGGCCAGATGGCTACCCTTAAGGTATACCACACCGGCATGTTGGCGGGCGTGGCACCCTCGCTTGATTTCGGCCAAGCGAGGCTTTGTCCCGACCCCCGCCAACTTTAGCATGTGCCAAGCAGGGGTTGGGATGATGCCACACAGGCTTTGGGATCGGCCAAGCGGGCTTTGGAAATGGCCAAGCGGGCTTTGGAAATGGCCCAGCACGCTTGGCCTTTTTTTGACCAAACTTTGGTGTGTGCCCAGACGGGCTTGCAACACCATACATATACATCCAAATGACTTGGATCCCAGAAGCCTGCAGGAGCTTTGCATATGAGAGGCTCTTTTTTTGGATGGCCCAGGAGTGGCCAGATTTTTGTTGGCTGGCAGACATGATATGTGTGGCTCTTATAATCACCCAGCTCTTGGTTTCAACACTTTCCAGAGAATACTCAGATCACACTTCACCTCTGTCAAAATCGTAAATCCTCTCATGCCAACATATTTCCTTTGGGCCCAAGCCCCCCTTTGCAAGTCTCCAAAGTTTGGAGACTTGTTTTGTTCAAGCTCTCTACTCTCACCTCCAATCAAGCAGCTTGCTTTCTCTTGGCTTCTTTCACAAAACAAAACAAAAACTAACTTCAACTGTCATAGGTTTGAAGTTTGTGCTTGGCCTTGGCCTGGGCCAAACTCATTGTTCACATATGTCACTGACAAAACTATAGGTTACAAGTGCTGAGACATATGGGATTTATCTAAAAAAATCAATTGGTCCAAGCTTTCTGGGAAAAGACAATCAAAGTTGCTGCTACATAAATACATGAACAATGAGTTAGTTTTTATTTTTTTTTTTTTCTCAACAGGTGGGACTTGTTATGGATCCATTTCTTGCAGTGGAGCAGATTCCTGGTGAAGACTGTCAAGCTTTTTTTTTTGCCCAAGTCAAAACCTGTTTTATACATAGGCTGTAAAAATAGTGTGACAGGGTGCTGTAAACTCGACAGGACTCCAGTCTCCATTTTTTTGATTCCTATGGGTGTTAGATTATCTAGAAATAAGTCTTGTGAGTTTGAACGAAGAGAGTGATCGAGCCGACGAGATAAAACCCAAAGGGAAAAAAATGAATGGTGTTTGGGTGTGACAAGTGATGAGGTGTGGATGGTGTGAAACTCTGGTTCGTGTACCGATTCCCAAGCGCCCAATCATGAGAATTTCTCCCAAACACGTCTTTCGATCGAACCATCAGCTATTCGCAAGAGCTGAGAAAGTGGTTTGATAAGCTGAAATAAGCTTTTGTTATGAATATAGTCGGTGTTTTTATTGCCGTTGTGTGGTGTTTACATGAGTTGAATTTGTTGTTGTACTGGGCTTTGTTTTAGTCGCATGGTTACTGGTAGCTTGGCTTTCGGTTGATTGATTTATGTAGCAAGTGGGCGGTGTGTGTTTGTTTGTTTGCTGTGTTGTTTTTGTAAGCCACCCACGCTAGAGTAGTAGTCAACTGAGCGAACTTCCCCAGTCTTCCCCCCAACGATCCTTAAAAAGACTCCATTCCCCCCACTTCGACTGCTCTCCACCAACAACTTAACACACATACAACCATGTCATCATCATCCACTACCACCACCAACAACAACAACAACAACCCTGCTCTGATGACCCATCTCAGAGCTGGCTCACCCACCCCATCATCATCCAACTCCGATCACTCCTCTTCGATCATCAACAAACGCAAGCCAATCGAACCCACCATCAACCCAAAACCACCCAAGATCTCAAAACCAACCAACAACAACAACAACCAAAACATCGAAAACCTCCCATTCGACCCTTTCAACCCTCATCCGGGCATGACCAAGGAAGAACGCAAACTGGCTAGGATGATCCGCAATCGAAGTCAGTACTCATCCATCCATCCATCAAAAAAAAAAAACATACAACTAATCTTGACTTTTTTTTCATTATTTAGCTGCTGCCCAGGCATCCAGAGATCGCAAGAAGGAGCACGTAGCTGAACTCGAGAACCGAGTCAGAGAGCTAGAAGAGCAAGTCAAGATACTCTCCAAGCCACTCGATCAACCACCACCGATGGCCACCTGTCTACGTCCATGCTGCCAACAAGCAGCAAGCCAATCCGCAGACAAGCCATCCTCCACCAGTCCAGCTCAGACCATCCAACAGGCACCCTGGTCCACTCAGACCATCTCCCCCGACTCCATCGACCCCTCGATCATCCAACTCAAACCAACCTCACCCTCATCACCCTCCTTCTCCTCCTCCTCATCATCATCCCCAGAGTCAATCAACCGGAGGGAGGAGGAGGAGCAGGAGTCTTCTAGTACCCTCGATCCTCAACTGAAGAAAGACTCGAGCGGATCAAACACATCGACCATCTCGCCCATCCAGGCCGAGTATCTCTCCAGCGTACGGATCCATGTACTCGAGGAGGAGAACGTCCAACTCAAGAGTCAGCTCGAGTACGAGCTCAAGAAGGCCCACCAGTTCAAGTGTCGACTACTCAAGAACAGACTCGGCCAATCCATCGGAACCGATCACCAACCTCCTGCGATCGACCAAGGCCTGATCGAGTTGATGTTGAAGGACGAGGAGATCGAGAACCTCTTACTCTCTTCCACCACCCCATCCTACTCCGCCACCACCTCCTCCGCCGTCTCCTCCTCCTCTTCCTCCTCCTCCTCCTCCTCCTCACCTCCCGCACCACTCTCACTCCACTCCCCCTCCTCATCACAACGTACTCAACCAAATTCAGACGACCTCACTCAACTCTCCTTAGACTGGGACTCACTCCTACTAGATCGAGAGAGCTCCCCATCAAGAAGCGATGGGCACTCAAGTTTTGAGACGATCATCCAAGGAACCAAGGAACGCAAGATATCCGAAGATTGGCCGATGATGATCGATGGCCTAGGTTCACCAGAATCCGACAAGCTCCTCCTTCAAGCCCTCGACACCACTCAACCAGAGACTCCTTCACCTGATCAGCACCCACAGGCTCCCGCAGACCGCCAACCGGCTCAGACCGATCCGACCAGCCCCCAAGCTGCTCCTCTCTCCCACCACCGCCTCGTAGCACGCGAGGTTCTGTCCCTGCAGCGGAACGGTGGGGAGAGCAGCAGTCTGGGTCGGTCGGATCTGGACAGACCGGTTCCGGAACCCTCTGTGGTGAACGAACTGTGGGCCATGATGATGATGCCGATCACCCACTCTTGGACAGATTTCTTGTCGATCATAATGATGATGTTGATGATGATGATCATCATCTTCTCCGCTCCTCTAATGATAATTATGAGCTCGAAGAGGCTCGATCATCCTCGACATCTTCATCTGATCTTCAATCCTCTGTCCAACGTGGTCGTCATCATCTCTTGCTTGATCTCGTGTTGGGTGGCCTGGAAGAACGTCGGGCGGATCTTGACGGCCGGCTTTCGACGGACCTCAGTGACCAACAACAACAACATCATCATCAAGACCATTCCTTCGATCATCAACAGCCATTCCACGGTCAAGATGAGCGCACCAATTCGCTCGACCAATGGGGCATCTTCGGCTTCCCGATCAACGACAGTCCCGCCCTTCAAAAACCCACCTCCTCCTCTTCTTTATTCGATCACTCTCCCCTCCTCGCTTCGTCGTCGTCGTCGTCTTCGTCTTCTTCGTCTTTCGTCTCCCCTTCTGCAGCAGTCCCACTTCCAGATCATCCGGCCCCTCAGCTCGATCTTCTTCGATTCGGGCTGACCGATAACGAGCTCATTCGTCAGCCCTTGTTCCCCGACCATCTCGCACTCTTCGAGGATGAGTTCCTCGGCCATGATCATCATCATCTTTATCTCTCTTGATCTCCTTCACTTCCCGTCCTCTTATATATATATATATATATACATGTCTTTATCTTTTCTCTCTCTCTTTTTTTATTATGACCCGTTTTGTTTGTATACTCATCTGATTGGCTTTGAAAATCCTTTAAAAAAAAACTAAAACACAAAAAAACTATGAAAACAAAAAACTACAACAACAACAAAAAATGAAGTTTTATATTTAGAATATTGAAATCTCAATGTTTTGTGAAGCTTTGGGTTCGAAAAAAAAGAAGAGTGAAGAGTACAAGAGATGCGAGCGGATGAGATAATTCTATAGAGTACAGATATCTAGAGAGATCCGATTAGACTACATGGGTCTGCCGGAATCTTGTCATCCACAACTTGCATCAAATCTCTTTCACAAATCAAAGATCCTTTTTACATATAATATACATATCTATACAAAAAGAAAAACACTCTTGTGTTGAGTTGGTCAAGTGGTTGTTTACTTCAAACATCATGAAAGCGGGTGCAGATAAAAAGCATGTTTATATTTCCATACGTCTTACTTTCGTTGCTCTACATAAATAGTGTCCCTTAATCTCTCGTAATGATAATTACAGATTTCCATGCCCATATGTCCACCTTTTTTATGATGTGTAATGGGCACGAATTTTTGGGGGAGGAGAGCGGAGAGGATGTGGGTTTTAGGTGATATGTAAGCGTCAAGGACGAAGAGAAGGACATGCGATCCCTCGGACATAGGAAACAACGCATCGACCGACCCGATCAGTGTTTCTTTTTTTTGGTCTGTTTTTGGGCATAGATTCTCGGCTACTTATTTATGTGGAGGACATCTTAAACAACAATGGTTGGATACAAAATCCGGAGAAGAAGAAGAATTTGATGATGGTCGTGTATATAAGTAAGTCAAGGACGGTATGTACATACTAGAAAATAAGATCCCTTTTTTGGGGGGTGCGAGGAAGACGATCGATGTATTAACATATATGCACAAATAAATCGTCTCGATGGATGGGTTCGAGGATGGTGGAAGCAAGCCCAGCGCACCAAAAGAGGAAGAAAATAGAGATGAGGCTGATGAGGGTATGCGAATCTCTCGAGAGAAGATCAGAAGAAGTCGCCTCCGCCGCCCCAATCGTCGCCTCCGCCGCCCCACTCGTCTCCATTCTCGAACCCGTTATCATATCCGTTCTCGTATCCCTGTTCATACCCACTATTACAATTGACACCAAAAATAAAAAGGGTGGGGGAACAAGATCAACGGTGAGGTTAGTGGATATGATGGGTGGAGGGCGTGCGACGGGGGTTCACAGATCAAGAGAAGGGGGGGAGGGACGTACTCCATGTAGTTATGGTCTTGGTGGTGATGGTGGTGGCCTTCTAACATCGAGCCCAGCAGCATTCCGCCGGCTAAGCCGCCCGCGCCGGCTACCAAACTACCAACCCAACAAGCCCTTCAAGTTAGAATGAATGATCGAGGGGGGGTGGGGTTGGAGATCAGGAGATGGATATGAGTTACGGGTTCATGCCTCCGCCGGCCCGGCGCGGATTGGGCGCCGGTTGGCCGACTGTCATCGGCTGCTGTTGGTACATCGGCTGTTGATATCTGTTGAAAACGCGCCAGAAAGATTAAGCTTCTTTCTTTTATAGAACCCCTCCCCGGTGTTTGTGGTTCCCCAAGGACGAAGAATCATCGAGGGAATATGAGAGAGAGAGAGAGAGAGGATAACATACCCAGCAGGTTGAGGCTGCGAAGGATAATAAGCTTGATTGGAGGGCGGCGGCGGATTGTAGAGCCGGCCAGCCTCCGCTCCTGCCGGGAGACTCTGTTGTGGTTGTTGTTGTTGGTCGACGGGATGGATCCAATGGGATTGAGGGCCATTAGGGGCCCGGGTGTCGACATAGAAGTAGCGCTGATATCCGTCATGCCATTGTCTGTGTATGTATGTTTGGAAGTTGTGTAAAACAGGATAAATCAGCAGTCCAGTCGGGTCTAGTTCTCTTACCAAGATAAGAGTCTGTGGATGATCCGTAACTTTTCCCAGCCGGGTGGTAATGGACGTTGGTCGCTCCCCGCCGCTCCAGCACTCGGTCCTCCTAGAGAAGAGCCGTTATTGGCGTCGTACGAGTGGTAGCCGGCTTGGTTGTTGTATGTCGATGGATATGGATTGGTGCTGGTGTTGTTGTTGTTGGCCTGGGTGTATGATGGTGGTGGTCCTCCTCCTCCTGCGCCTCCTGGTTTGGGTGTGCTGACCAGTTTATCGAAGATGCCCATGTTTTTTTCTTTCTTTTGTTGATGGTTGTGTTGGTGTTTTTTTTGAGAGTGTCTTTTCTCAAGGGGACGAAGCTCACAGATGCCCCGACGGGTTATCTATTTTCGTCCATGACTTGGTCGTGTGCAGCACAGCCCCTGCTTGATACACAGCCTGTGCAATATCATCAGACTCTCGACCTGATCAAACTCAGAAACACACCTCGTCATATTCCTGCAGTATTACAGCTATAACGAGAAAGCTTGCGGGCTCAGAAGATAGAAAATCAAAAAAATAAAAAAATAATACGGAAAACAATTGGAAGCTTTGGAAGAATACAGGTCCATGTATGTATGGATTACCTCCGGTCAAATCAGCTAACTTTTTTTCCACTCACTTTCAGGTGATGAGGGTAACACCATCAGAATCCTGATGGAAAGTTTACTCCATCCACCCCTCAATCCATGGCCTCGCTAGGGCAGAGCTACCCCCCAGGGGGGCCGGTCAGGTTCCATCGGTGCCGCTGGCCACTGTACATCTGGCTGTATTCTTCCAAATATTCCGACTGCAGCCGATGTTTTTTTTTTTTTTTTAATTTCTATCTTCTGAGCCCGCAAGCTTTCTCGTTATAGCTAACCCCAATAGGAGAAGAAAAACATCGTTGGAGGTCGACGCATCGAGAATGGAAGTGGAGACCACGGCTTCTTCTACAACTTCCGGAGTACTTTAAGATCAGGCGGCTCAGCTTGTATGTAAATAACCAGATGTTGTTGACAATTGATGAGACCTTCCTCATGTGGCATCCATGATCCATCTATGAACAACAACAAACTCTCTGATTTCTCAGTCAAAAAAAATAACACTGTCTGCAGCCTGCAGTTGGTTTCTTTGAATGTCAGCCAAATTTTTGTCTCCAGCATTCCCCCACACAACATGCAGTCTCTCCCATGAGTGCCCAATGGAGTAGCCAGTAGGCTCCCAGATGCAATCTCCCTCACAGCTCAGCTCAGGAAGGCTCAGGATGAATTTAACCCCTTTCTCTAGTGACTACAACTGGATGAGGAAATTCAAAATCTAGTTGTCAAGACTTGAAATCTTCAAGCAACTCCACCAGGGAATGTACATAAATCCCAGGTGCATTAAACTTCTTCCCCACACACAAAAACAGTACCCCACCCTGGGGGGTATGTAACCTGGAGGACTTCCTGTCAAATCTGGGACCCTCACAGATGTCAATTTAGATCCAAAAAGTCTAGATTTGCACAGGGAAATCTAGCTTTTTGATGTTCTAAGTTGCTGACAGACAACTGTCCAATGGGAATGTAAAATCAGAGGTCTTGTGGGTAAATCTAGCATATTCCCACCACATTTGCACTACCTGCAAAAATGAGTGTAACTTGACCCTTCATCTACATCTTGGAATACATCTTGCATACCCATAATCCCACACAACACTGCACAATACATCAAGCAGCCCCCCCCCCCAGCAATACCACCCTCCTCTGATCTCATCTCAACCTACTCACCACTCAAGCTCAAAAAACAAAAAAGGATGAACTTGAGTTAGTTGTCTGTAGGAATCTTGAATATGTTTTCTATTGATTTTTTCATTCCTGTTGATCACAATTCATTTCTGATCCTTCTCAGAAGCTCCCATACCTTGGCCAAATGAAGTGGAACTTCAACTCACAGATGTTGAACCTTCTACCCCACCATCCAAAAGGCCCATAGGCCTGCCAAGAAGAAACCCATTGATCAGCCAATTAAGGAATATGATACTTTACATTACAATATATGGCCCCATATATGTAACATACAGGCCAATGTTTTTTTAAATTTTTTTCTTATTTTTATCAAAAAAAGTATTGAAAATTTGATATGTTTCAAAGTTTTATAATGTGTTAGAGGCTGTATCAACCCAAAAATCCTGTATCAGCTGTTATTGAGGGCTATTTTGAGCCCTCAATTTTTTGGCTATTGACCACCCACAGGCGTGTAAAGTAACAAATTTTCTGCTATAACTTTGCAATGTGCTACAGATACGGGCATTGCTATTGGCCCACTGTTGCTACAAGGGCTTCCCTCCAGACAAACACAACAAGAAGACCCCATTTTCTTGGGCTCCAAAGTACAAAGAGGAATAGGACATCCAGATTCCTGGCTTGTGGCTCAAGACCAGTGAAGACATCCTCAACTTGAACAACCAAACTGCAACCATCTTCTGGGCTCAAGTTTGCAAGCACTATATCAAAGTTGGACCAGCTACGGTAACACTAAAATGGACTATTTTTAGAATAGTGTTTGTGTGATTCCACAAATCTTTGAGAATGCTACAAGGCTACATGCATAGGGCAAGAAATTTAGTGTAGTGTTGGCGCAGATTTGTGGAATTTCACTCACACTATCATCTCTTTTCTCAAACCATTAGAAGATGATCCAATATGCTGGTTCATGTCTGAAGTTCAAGGCAACTTTCAGCACATTTATAGATAAAATTTTATGGATTTTGGCCAATCTTGTGATAATCAGGTTTGGAGTAATTTGAGATTTTTTCTCTATTTAGAAGTGTTGAAATTTTGCTGTGATATCTCTCTGTCTACTCTTCCTCTTGAATGTCACTCCTTTGTCACTGGTATTCTTCCTCTCTTTATTCAATATGCCTCAATACCAGCTCCCACATTTTTTGCATTTGTATCTAGATAATTTAAACAATCTAGCTACTAAAGAAATATAAAATCATTGGTTCTTAGCTATTTATTTCGGTCCTGAGTCGACACTTGAGCCTCCTGTCAGCTATGTGTATGAAACTTTGGCTTAATTAATATAAAAGCCAAGTACTATCACTGTGCTGAAGGACTCAGGTTAAAGACCAAGATTACTCCTAGTCACCCTCAAAGTATTAAGTGGTCCAAACTTCCCACTTAAGAGGTTAAAAAGTCCACACTCCTCAATTAATGACACTTGAATAATCAAGAGAGCACTTTAGGAGACAATAACAGAATATGTTATTGTAGAGTGTTTGGAAGCAATAATTAATATTGCAAGAAGTGGCTGGCAAGCACCTGAGCTGAAAGGCTACAGTCAGAGGGGGTGGTCTTGCAACAACTACTTTTTAAGGAATTAGTTAAGTTTTGAGTCTGGGATAACTCTCAGCTTAATAATAATTCCAGTAAGAAGGTAGGGTTGGATTGGACAAAAAAGACTACTCTAAAAGTAGGTGGAGAATATTCACTGTACTCACTTAGGTTGTTGGGGTGGATATGCTGAGGAATCCATCCTAGGCAGGAGAAAGGCCTCCTTAAATATTCTAGAGATCCCTTGGGGGGCATTTCTTAGAATATTCTAGAATCTCCTTTTTAATGTACAACAGTAGAAATAATCCCACGATGTAATGGGAATGTTGTAATATTTCTAATAAAATTATATTCTATGTCCCATGACATCATGATGCATATTTATATCCAATTACATCATGTGTCAACTAAAGTAGAATTATACTAATAGAAATTGTCACACACTACACCAACACTGGGAGGTTACGTTTTCAGTACATAACAAAAAATAACAAAAACGCAACGGAATTGTGGCCGTTAGCGTTACAATAACCGCAAAAGTTTCCACTTTTTTTATTGTTTTTACGCTATACACCACAATTAAGTGTGGATAACAAACACATAACAAGGGGTTTACCCTCACACAACGTGGATAACGTGCTGTTTATGTTGTGTTCTTCCGTAATGAGGGGCAAAATCCCTCTTGTTACGTTACTCACCAGTCAAAAAAGATTGCATTCTGGATAATGCTAATGTTGTTATCCAATGCACTGGGAAGTTACTAGAGATAGTTTGTTTGAACCTGTTGGGAGGTACCTGCCACACTTCAGATCAAGCCCTCCACATCAACAGCCACCACAAATACCAGTGGGGGGCCCAGTACTAAACCTTCATCATTACTGAACCCTCTGGAAGCTAAAGTGGTGTCTGAGGGTGTGGAGGGAGTGTTTTGAAGTGTGGCAGGTACCCCTCAACAGGTCCAAACAAACGATCTCTAGAAGTTACGTTACAAAAATCCCTCCAGATATTGTAATGTATGTAACTTCCCAGTTTTGACTACACTAGTGTGGTAATGTCTATTCTACATATTTATTTCTTGTATAATACAGTCTTAAATGTATATTGAACCCTAATTTAATATAAATTAGGTCACTTTATATTATTTTAGTTAATTTACAGTATTTTGTTCCTACTTGATTTCATGGTCTTTGAGTATTAACAAAGTCCTAGAAGGAGTAGGATTTTAGGGGTAGCTCCAGTGAGAGACCCCACCTAAAATTATATGAAAATGAAGATTATTCAATAATATTCAGTGTTTATTTAGGGTCTTAGTTAAAGCACTCCCAGAAATTGGAGTTCCGACTCCCAAATTTCTGGGACGTCAAGAGGACCGTCTGCGGACAGTCCTCAGGACGTCCAACCCCAAAATTGGGAGTCGAAACTCCAAAACCTTCAAAAGGTTTGGGAGTCATTCCCCTAACAAAAAAATAATAAAAATAAATAAAAAAATAAAAAAATGAAATAACTGAATACAGTCAAACCTCTCTAACCACATACCCCTTGGTGGAAAGAATTTGTTATGTGGTTTGGCAGGTTATGTGGTTACAAGGGTAGGCTAAGGGCAAAAATGAGAATTTGGTGGACTCAAATGAGTATGTAGTATGGGGGTTTATGCCCCTATACAGGTATGCAGTTAGACAGGTTTGACTGTATATGAATGGTCTCAACAGCCGAGAGGAATCCCTCTTGGCCGCTGAGTGTATTCTCTCAACGGCCAAGAGGGATTCCTCTCAGCTGCTGAGAGTGTACACTCTCAGCAGCCGAGAGATACCTCTCGGCCGGCAAGAGTTGTACACTCTCAGCAGCCGAGAGATCCCTCTCGGCCGGCAAGAGTTGTACACTCTCAGCAGCCGAGAGATCCCTCTCGGCTGGCGAAAATAAATAAAAAATGAAAAATGAAATAACTGAATATATGAATGGTCTCAACGGCCGAGAGGAATACCTCTTGGCCGCTGTAAGACTCAAAAAGTGATTTTAAGATCCTTTTTGATGAATGGAGAAAGGGATGAAATGAGCTGCAAACTCTGCCTTTCTATATTATCAGAAAACAAGACCACCAAGGTAAGCTTGGCAGTTTGGTTGGTGATAATGGATTATGTTCAAAGATGGTTGTATAATTGTTGAAGGTTGATCTTGTTGTCCAAAGAATTGATTGAGTTGGTGATGTTGTTTCTCGTCTTGATGTCTTGATACTTGTGTTCTTCCTTAATGCTGTATATGTAATAGAGGTGGTTCTTGAACCCAAAGGGTCTGGGAGCACTATGCTTCAACCAGGACTGGAACAAAGGACTGGTTCTTCTGTGTAATGTTTGTAAAACTGTGTATATATTTCAACTGTGAACTGTACTACTTGTGATCCTCTTGTGTAATAAATATCTGTGACAGGTGTCCCACCAAAAAAATGTGTACTGAGTGGGATGAGGAGGAAAACAACTGGCAGGCAGAGGCCTCCTTATATAGTAAATTATGTGGGATTTTAGCCCCAAGGGACCCCCTGTATGAGGCATTTTAGCTGCCCTATCCTTGAAAATCCTGAGGGATTTTGGCTAGACTATCTACAACGCATTCCTTTTATATGTAAGCTGTAAGAAAGGAATTCATGTGTTCTGTGGCTGAATAAATGGGAATTTAACTGGTACAACTGGTGGCCAACTTGTGGTTCTGTAAGTATAAAAGGAATTCAATATGCAATATGCAATATACCCCCATGCAATATACCCTCCAGCTGAGTGCCTCTGATCCTGTGATTCTCCGTGTGACATCCTTGATTCTGTGTAACTTCTGATCCAGTAGAGATATGAAGGTGGTTCCAGTGAGTGACTAGGGATTAAATTGGCCATAGATTCCATTTCTGAAGTCCATTTGTCCATATCTTGAGTCCTTCATTGATAAATAATAAAATTTTGAATTTTCTTCCTTCATACACAGGAATAATGACCACACCGCTGAGTGTATTCTCTCAACGGCCAAGAGGGATTCCTCTCAGCTGCTGAGTGTGAGCCTGGGTCTCAACAGTGACGGCAGGACACAAGGATGGGGGGCAAATCTAGATGTATTTCTGAAGGATAAGGAAATACAACTAGAAGGAGAGGAAAAGAAAGAGAAATGAAATGAATAATATTTTTTTATTGTTTATTTGTTTTATAATCAAGGTTTGAAGCAGTCTTAATTTCCTGAAAAGGATGGCTGTTATTTAAGCGGAATTAATCTATGCCTCCTATCAACAGAAACTGAATAGGGTACTTGGTATTGATATATCAATCCAACCTCAATTTTTTAGATCAAAGACCAAGGTTCTTCAAAGGGAAACCTAGGTGGTTTTCAGTTATACCACCAAACAGAGAGTAAAGATGACTTGATTTGAATTGATGATGATTAAGGCAGAGGTTTAGTAGAAAAGGAATGATGGGTTCATTCAGAGAGACTGAGAAGGAAACTTAGCAGAAAGATGCAAGCTGAACTTGAAGGAATGACTTACTATTTGGTGATCCTGACACTGAGAGTGGGAAGATTCCAAAGAGTAAAGGACTCCAAACGATAACACGGCGATGATACGGCGGTGAATCCAAGTTGAGGTATGCTGGTTTTCTGGTCTGAGTTGGTTCTGGGTGGGTCTGAAGCTTGAAGATCCTGAAAATGCGAACTCAGTGTCTACTGAGAGAATTTTCAGAGTTGGATTACATAATCACAACATGTACATGTGGTAGGGAGTTGGAATTCCAACTTGGTAGATATTTCACAATGGTACGGTGAAATATTACAAAGTCTGTGAAGGAGAGGAGTAGTGTAAAAGTGTGTAGGGGTGACTAAGGTTAAAATTAACAGAGGAATTCATTTCTGAAGTCAGAATGCAATAAAAGATTAAGATGAAAAAGTTACAGTAGGGACTTGAATGAAAAGGAGGACTTAGGCAGTCTTTTGGCCAGCTTGGCTGGCTCTAAGGCTGACACTGAGAGTGTACACTCTCATCAGCCGAGAGATCCCTCTCGGCCGGCAAGAGTTGTAAGAGTGTTCACTTTCAGCAGCCAAGAGGAATACCTCTTGGTTGCAGAGAGCTGTACACTCTCACGCAGACCAAAATGTTACTTGTTTATCTGGCTCTTTCACTGCACCCAGACCTCAGACATCAATGGGTTTGTGGCGGATTGACTCCCAAAAACCCCTGAGGGGTTTTATTTTGTTCATTTTATTTATTTATTTTTTTATTTATTTATAAGGGGAACGACTTCCAAAACCTTTGAAGGTTTTGGAGGTCCAACTCCCATGGATGTCTGGAGGAGCGTCCACAGATGGTCCTCTCGACGTCCCAGAAATTTGGGAGTTGGAACTCCAATTTCTGAGAGTCGTTTAACTAAGACCCTTTATTTATTGTTTAGTGAGTAATATTAGATATATTTATTATTAGCAGACTTTTGGATACTCTGGAGTATCTATAAGGCTGACACCTCCTCTCAACGTTAACTCAAAGTGCACTTAAGCCCGCTTTATTAAGTATAAATAGCCTCCATCAGACTTTGTCTGCTTTTGGCTTTGCCAATTTTTTTTCCCTCATTGGTCAAAAAATTCAACAAGAAGTCCCAGACCAGGAAAATCTTGAAAGTTGTTACAAGTTTTTTCCCCTGGAAAATGGGGTCCTGAAAGCAACGCTGCCACAGATATGGTATCTGCCCGTATCTGCCATGTATCACTATGTATCTGAGCCCCAATAAAAAAAACTATCTGACCAATCTGCTTTTATTTGCAAGGAGATTCAACAAATTTGGTTTTTGGCCATGCAGCTTTGCAGAATTCTCCATGATACACACAGTGTATCGTATCTGTGGCAGCGTTTCTGAAAGCCTCAAAAATCTCTACATGGCCCCCCTCAACATCTTTGGATAACCACAACTCTGCCCAAAGTGAGTGCAAGGGTTTTGTGCTGACAAGAGTTGCAAGGTTTTTCTAACCAGGCTATTCCCAACTTGTTCAAACTAATCAGGTTCTCTGTGAGCTACCATGGGACACTAATGGGGTGCAGTATCAGTGTCCTCCTCCAGTGGCTTGGCACCAACAACAGCTAAAAAAATGAGGTTTGGGAGGTTCAAAGAGACTGATGTGCACAGAAATCATCTTGAAAATGAACTGCCATAGGATCCTTGAATCTGGCTGCTGCTCAGCCCACCTTTGAGGCTTTGCCGTATTTGCCCCAACAACACTGGGTATTCACATTACCCGTAATGGTAGTGTAAAGATAAAGTGGTGAGTTTCCACTCTCATTACTATCCCCATAATGTTTGGAGATTGTTTGCACATTGCATTATCCATTCTTCTTTGGAAGATATTCTTATGCTCATTACACTATCAGTAACTTGTAGATTTTTTTTAAACCCCTAAATATTTGTAAGAAATGTGATACTTTTTAGGAATTTATGGCATGTGTTACTGCCAAAGATAAAAAAGAACGGCCTTTTGCTGCTTAAAATGTGTTCAGGGTTGCTTAAACTCTGGATACAGTGATAATTCATTACTTTATCCATTCATTGCAATATAGACAAAAACCTCATAATTACACTACTGGCTGAAAGAACAATCAGCCACTACAAATATTGTTAATGTATTAGGGAAGGAATCAAGTGCAGTATATTACTGAGATAATGCAGATAGTTCAGTGTAAAATACACCCTCAACGGCCGAGAGGTTCTCTCCCGGTCGTTGAGAGTGTACACTCTCAACGGCCGAGAGGTTCTCTCTTGGCCGTTGAGAGTGTACATCCTCAACGGCCGAGAGTGTTTCTCTCGGCCGTTGAGAGTGTACATCCTCAACGGCCGGGTGGGTTTCTCTCGGCCATCAAAGGTGTACATCCTTGACGGCCGTCGAAGGTGCACATGTACATCCTCGACGGCCGGGAGGAATCATCCCGGCCATCGAGGGCCCTTTTTGGCTTGCCGACCCCCAAAACCCACTGGGTTTTGGGGCATTGACTCCGTCCCCCTCCGGGGGTTTTGTTTTTTTTTTATTTAAAATTTTTGAGGATTCGACTCCCAAACCCGCTGACGGGTTTGGGGAATCGACTCCCAATACTCGGGGGATACGGGGGAATTTGGGGGGTTTGGGGGGTTTGGGAGTCGACACTCCAACTTTTGGGAGTCGATTAACCAAGCCCCTTAAAAAATAATATAGGATGATGAATCCCAATCCCCCAGGGAGGAACAATTGGGGAAATGAGACCCACAAGGATGTTGATGGCTGGTCTGTTCTCCTGATTTATGGGAGTTGTTTTTTTCCCAACACCCTTCAAAAAGAAAGCATTTGTTTTCTTGCTGACATCTTGAGTTTGGAGATTTGGGAAGCAGTGCTGGAATCCATGAGGATTGTGGGTGAATGTGAACAGTTTCTTGGATGTGTGGGAGGAATGATGAATGTTGCTTCTTAAACCCAAAGCACTGGGACACATATTCAAATGGTTGCATTATGTCATCAGAAGTGAGAATCAGCCGAATAGGGTTCGCTGAGCTATGATGTATGGATGATGATGATGATGATGATGGGTGTGATGATTCGGGGAGAGGGTCCTTCTGGGTTGGTTCGCAGTCAGCAGGTTTTGTATTCATGAATTGACGAGTGGATGGTCAACAGCATTCACATCGATCCACAACAACATCCAAATCGAAGGGTCCAACAACAACAACAACAACTCACTCACTCTCACTCACTCTGCTTAGCCGAAACGACGACAAACTCAAACTAAACCTGAGAAAACTAAACTAAACTAAAACCAAAACTAAACCAAACCAAACTACGACAAAACGAACAGATCGGCAGATGTTAAGCTTACAACTCAAACCCATCCAACTCAACAACAACCAAAACCAAAACCAACCAACAACTGACCATCAACAGCAAGCCCATGAACAACAACAACAACAACAACAACAACAACAACTGCTACTCACAACTGTCTTCCACTCATCAAACCGAAGAACAAACGAACAACGACAAGCATCAGGAATGGTACAACCCTCCTGCGTCTCAGTCACCACCTCAACCTCACTCAGAAGCTCATCATCCCCTCACCACCATCTCAGCCTCGACCAACAGTCTCACTTTGATCACCCAAAGAGCTCAAACAACAGCCTCAACTTCAGCCCACTCTCCCCCAAGAACTCATCCCAATCACTCCCACACTGGAACCAGCTCGATAACTCTGCTGAGATGGTCAGGCATACCACCAAACTACTCAAGTCTCGTGACTCAAGAACTGGCAGACTGATCATCAACCAATACATGAAAGGAAACGAACTCGGTCGGGTAATCATCATCATCATCATCATCATCATCATCACTTCTCAACCCGAAACTCACACATCTATCTATCATTCTAGGGTGTCCATGGAATCGTTTACATTGGAAAGAATATGGACAAACTCATCCGAACCTCAACCCCTCAAACAAACGATTCATTCCTCAACCATCCAATCGAACCCCTCCCTGAAGAACTCGATCACCACCCTCACAACAATCAATCAGCTGATCGAGATCGACAACCACCACCAAGAACAACCTCTTCATGGACAGAGGAAGACTATGAGACCGTCGTCAGTAAAACAACCCCAATACCAACTAACTGATATTCATATTCATCACCACTCTTATTTCCCCCTCATAACTCGAGACACAGGCTATCAAGGTCGTTCGAAGGGAGCCCAAAGGTCCAAAATCATTAAGAAGATCACAGATGCAGCGACAGCAGCAGAGAGAAGCCGCAGCACAAGCCGGACTAGGCTACCTCTCCGATAGTGCTCCGATCCTAGCCGGCGGGGATCTCTTACATCCTCATCCAGCCACCCTGATTGGACGAGTGCCACTACTCAAAGATGTCGACGACAAACTCAAGAAAGAGATCGCTATTATGAAACGATTGAGGCACAAACATATAGTTCAACTCAAGGAGGTCATAGATGATGCTAAGAGCAAGAAAGTCTTCATGAGTTGGTTCAATTCCTCTTTTACTATCCATCTCAGCCATTAAATCAGTTTACACATCTACATATACTAACCATCTCAACCCAACAACAACAACAACAACCAAAGTCTTGGAATTTATGGAAGGTGGGCAAGTCTTATGGCAAGATCCCCTCACTCACACTCCTTTAATGACTGTTGAGCAGGCAAGGAACACCTTCAGACAAGTCCTGCTTGGACTCGAATATCGTACGTGTATCATTCATCTCTTCACCCCATCTGTATTTGTAAACTAAGCATCCTTTGGGTATTCTATGTAGTACACTACCAAGGTATCATCCACCGCGACATCAAACCTGCCAATCTGCTATGGACTGCCGACCGAGAGACGGTCAAGATATCTGATTTCGGTGTCTCCCACATCTCTGGCGTCCTCAAGCGGTCCGCATCCAATTGTAATCTACCGGCCAGTATCGTCCCAAGTGACGGCCTAGCCGATGACTCTCCTCGTACCTTCAACTCGACCGACGATAAGGCTTTGCGAAAAACAGAAGGTAGTCCGGCCTTCATGGCACCCGAACTCTGTTGCCCCGTCGAAGCCACTCCGGGTATCACTCCACCCGAAGCATCGGCAGTCGATTACTTCACCCAACGAAGGAGTTCCACCCTAACCAAAACTACCAACTCATCTGATTCCTCGAATAGCCCACCCAAGGAAATCATCCCAATGGCCAACTCAGCCCGTCTCATCTCACTCCCCCTCCCAATCAAGACCTTTGCTAGAGGCGAACGGCCTGTCGTCGGTAAGGCCATCGACATCTGGGCCCTCGGTGTCACCTTATACTGCTTACTATTTGGGAGGACACCGTTCAATGCACCGAACGAGTACGAACTGTTTAATGTGATATGGAACGAACCAATCTTGGTGCCCGAGACGATGGGCATCGAACGGCAATCTCTCGAATTCGATCCTACTAACCGCTCGCTCGATGGACCTGTACAGAGGGACTCGAGGGAATTGATTGACTTGTTGAGGAAACTATTGGAGAAAGATCCCCGCAAACGGATTAAGCTTGAAGATGTCAAGGTAGCTAGTCCCCATTCCTCCAAATACCCTCAAATAGTCATCATACATAATAACCATCTTTGCTTTCAAGGTTCATCCATGGGTACTCAACAATCTCGATAACACTCAACATTGGGTCCATGAAACCGCGCCTGTAGGGGGCGATGCAGTCTATGTGACGACTGAAGAAGTAGCCAACTTTTCTCGACCACGTGCTAGTCTCACGACCCATAAACCTCTGTTTGGTGTCAAGCAAAGTCTCCGGAAAGCAGCCATCAAGTTAGGCCTGCAACGACCTGCCAATAAGATGTCAAGGATGAGATCAAAGAGTGTGAGTAGTGGCGCCAGTGGTTCACCAAGCCCTCAAGTTGAAACCGCCTTCTCGATCCTCAACCCAAGCCATTCTCCCCTCTCATCTAACTCTCAAGTCCGTCAAAAGATCTCAATCGACACCGCCAATCTGTCCTCTGGTAACCATCCCAGACCAGAAACTCCACCGATCACGCCTCTTTCGTTTCCATTGAGCACCACTAATTCTATCAAGCGCGGCTTCGGTGTCTGTTCAGGATGGACTTCGGCCATCACTCCCAAAGCGACCATCCTCCAACCCACATCTTCCTGCCAAAACGGTGCTCTTCCTCAACCCGGCAGTCCAGTCTATTCTACTACCCACCGAACGACGGGGACGGCCAGTCGACCTCAAACGCCCATCAGGCTCGATCCTTCCCGCTCTTGTCTCTCATCAGTATCTTCCCGATCGGGCTCGCCCTCTCAGGCCAACATTGGCCCGAGTCATCCGTCCACGCTTTCAGTCCCTCGCAGCTCGTCCCCAAGCACCTTCCTACTCTCTCACCATCTCGACCGCTCCATCCATGCCCACCATCCCCACATGTTACTCGACCCAATCTCCTTCCCTGTGGACAAGAACAACCACCGGCGCTCGCTGCCTAGCTCACCTGCACCTCTACATGCACTCACCTCTCTCTCACGCACATCACTGATCCCTCCACGTACGGCCTCGCCCGCCGGTACCAGTGATGCTGAGTTCCAGACTCGTCTCGCCCCTCCGCCCACTTGGTTCCGGGATGCGCTCTTCCGCGTCAAGCGGCGCTTCACTCGTTCACCCATCGTCGCAACAGCCACCTCACCGACCTCTCCGCCTCCGACGATCTCGACCGGACTCCGATCCAAGGCCGTGCGCCGTCGAGTGGTCCGCCTGCCACTGCCTCTAGGGAATTTTTCGACCACCTCAAGAGCCATCGTCCGCCCTCTGAAGTGTTTTCATCGGACGCCGAACCATCTATCTCCCTTGACCATTCTCAACGTCCAGATAACGCGACGCATGATCAAGAAGGGGTGGAGGTGGAAGATGATGATGATGATGGGGAGGAGCATGATGCTGATGAGGAGGACGATGAGGATGAGGAGGAGATCGGCTCTGAAGGGCTAGGAAAACCGTTGATGTATCACGATGGAACTCAATGGACCTTCCCAGCTACCGAATCGAATGGAGTCGAGCAAGCAAGGAACGACCCGGGAACTGAGGGAGCTAGGGACTGGCTCCAACAGATCTTGGTTCCTCGGGACGAAGTGTTGTCTCACCAGGCTCGTCGAAATCGAGCGACTGGAGAGGATGAGGTGGCTGGAGATTTGGACGAATTACGACTCGACGCCTCTGCCGATCAACTTTCTTCCCCCTCTTCCAATCATCAGCATCATCATCTTCTCCTCGTCCCTTCTACCTCTGCTGCTACTGCAACACCTATCATCTCCTCCTCTTCCTCTCCCTCGCCCTCGCCTTGGACTACTCAACCGCGGCTCACGTTCAGACCGGCGTCGGTCGACCACGACCATTCTGCGCTCGAATATCGCTCCTTTTCCTCGGATGATGATGATGATGATGACGATGATGATGGGATTAATCGACAAGCTCAAGCGTGGAAACCTCAACCCTCCTCCTCCTCTTCTTCGTCGACCTCTTCCTCCTCTTCTTTCTCTAGGAATATCCGGCACCCTCCGTTTTCGTCTAATTGCATCTCTTCAACATCTACAACAACATCTACAACAACAACAACCACAAACAACGAGTTTGATTCAGATCTGCATCTCCTTAACGATCCCCATCATCCGATCAATCATCCACAACATCTCCCATTCATCCCTCATCTCAATCCTACTCCTCCTGCGGCGCTTCCCTCGGCTCCTCCGCCGATCACTCTTGCTCAGGAAGAGCCTCCAACGCTCGATGATCTCGATCCTCGTCAGCAACGAGGTGGGCGCGACGATGAGGAGGAGGAGGAGGACGAAGAGGCTGATAATACGCTTCAGATTCAAGTCAAACCTCGTAAACGTGGCTGCTCTAGAAGCGAAGGCTCTTGATCCTCTATCTCCTTTTCCTACCTCTTCCCTTCTCTTCTTTCCCTACTCCCCACTCCTCACTCCTTAGATAAACATATGTAATCAGACTCTTTTTTTTTTCTCTTTTGCTCTTTTGTTTAGAAAATCTAGATCGATTAAACTCGTCCATCAATTCATCAACACTTGTCTTTCTCTTTCACTGAGCTCTCTCCTCTCTCTAACTCCCCTTTTTCCTGTTGTGTTTGGGTGGGCATTGTTGTTGTTGTTGTTGTTGTTGTTGTTGTTGGTCATGTAATAGATTGCGGTTTTTTTACATGCCGCGGTTTCCTTTCGTTAGTCACACAGTCTGTACTTTTTTTGTCTTTTTTGTTTTTTGTTTGTATCTTCTCCAAAAAATAAATAAATATGAATGTGAAAATGAATTAAATGAACTGGTCAATTCATTTGGAATGGAATCAAGAATGAAGGAAGATGGAAGGCGGTTGAGAATGAGTGGTGGGTCAGTTGTGTTCTCACTTTTTTTTTTTTTCTTTTTTACAAAAATAAAAATATGGATTAGATTAGATTAGATGTAGTTTCTTATGTGTACAATCACAAATGAAAACAAAAAAATGGAAAGCAAAGGAAACTGTGAGGAAAGGAATGAACAGATAAATAAAAGAGAGACAGAGAGAGAGCAGCACAGAAAGTGAAATGAGTAGACAGGAGTGAAAGAAGAGGATCAGAGAGAGAGAGAGAAAAAAAAGAGAAGAGAGAGAAAACAAGGATGAGATGTTGTATGTAGTTATAACCCAGTATCTACAACCAAGGACGTGGACAATACAATCATCTCCAAAGAGTTGGGTTGACCAAGTCTTGTTGAATGGCCAGGAGAATTGACGATGGCAGTGTGAAAAACAGGCCACACCGATGATGATGATGATGATCTCGAAACACATATGCCTCTTTTTGGGTGAGGGGAGGATTTGTCATGCCCAGTGATCAGAGGGAGGACGTTATATATAAGGAGCTTGAGGGGGGACAGTGAGGAGGATCATATATATGAGTCCTCCTCCAGCTCTGGGGTGAACGAATTTACAATGTGCTCATTCATTGAGGGTCGACTCGTGGCTTGACACAAGACGCTTTCCTGCTGGGAATTCGAAAGGTCTAGGCAATCCTCCAGCGGTCTCACTTGCCCATCACAGATCATATCCCTCGTTAATATAATCAGATACCTGGGACTGTCCTTGTGTGCGACCCGTGAGTCTATAATCTGCCGACCATCATTCAGATCCTTAGGGACTGCTCCATCTTCCATTCTTGAGTATTTTTTTGGGGGGGCTTCATGAAAGGTATAGAACTTCACAAGCCTGGGATATCGAATTCAAAACGAAGGATTAAAGACACACAAAAGCGGCGGAGAGATTTCTTCTTAGGGGGTATGGTTTCTTGCAGGGTACCGGTATACGCGGTAAATAAAGCTTGTATTGCTAAATTGCTAACGAGAAGTGAAGTGGAATTGGGAGAATAACAAGCAGCAATAATTGAGACTTTCAAAAAAAAGGGGGGGGGGGGTGATTGGCCAGTTCAAGAGGAAGATAAAGACTAGGTAAGAATTCTCTTCCAGTTTCATTTTTTTAATCGGCCAGACTTAGGCTGCCGACTGCTACGCCGATCCCGCCCAACTTGGCTATTCGCTCTTCCTCTAATCTTGTCCTCTCTGCCTCCGTCTCTTGTCTGTATTTGTTCAGGTCCCAGTCTTGTTCGCCAGACTCGTCCGGCCCTTCGTCGTCTGAGTACGCATCATCTCCGTATACACCCGTTGTGTCGAAGCTGTTGGTTGATCAAAACAATGAGATTCAGTTTCTCTGGTCGGGTTGGAGATCGAATTTAGTAGAAAAGAGGATAAGCGTGAAAGGGCTGAGACTGACGTGAACAAGTCTCTTCCACTCATCCCATTCATCCTTCCAGCCGCAGCTTGCTGTTCTTTCAACTTGCGTTTGCCATCCTCTTCGACTTGTTTCTTCGACAGACGCTCGGCCTTCCATTTGGCAAACGATTCTTTGGTCACCGGGGTCAGAGTCTTGCCCAGCTGATGACGCTCCCGTTCCAGGAAGTCCTCCAGACTCAGCTCGTTCTTCTTCGCCTCCTCGGCGTCTTTCTTCTTCTGCGCTTTCAGAACAAAGCCTGGCGGTAGAGCGTGTCGGTACTTGCAGTTCACACCTCCTGATGGGCATTCCTATCCGGCAAGATTCAGTCAGTCTGAATCTGGTTCATCGACTTCTTTTGTTTTTTTTTTTGTTTATGCAATTCAGTTTCTATCTTGAATTTCACTCACCCAAAACCATCCATATTTCCCCGACTCGATAGCCTCTATAAAGTTTTTACATACAACTAGCGAAAGAACGGACCAAGGGCAGAAGAGCAAAACCGTCAGAAGATGATTGATATCGAGGAAATTCCGGAATATGAGCTACTTACTCTCGGTGGTAGTTTTTGGATTGCCGTGCTTGGAAATGACGACACTTTGAAGTTTGGCATCATCCCATGTATCCATGGTATCTATGATACACAAACACCAGGTTAGTAGCGAGTCGAAAAACGCTCGGAAGCTGGATGACTGGCGTATTGACCTGTTTCTTTGGTATCTCGCCCATCGGTATAAAGATCTTTCTTCGTCGTCTTTCGGTCGACGTTCAGATCATGACTGAATTTACACTTGTTACTAAAATTATACCAGGAAAGAATCAGATGCGATCAATAGGTAATGAGTTTAAACCAATCTGTTTGTTTATTTACCCTTTTTCGCATGTACCCGTCTTGAAATATTGACACAAGACCGTCTTCGGATCAGTCCCAAAAGGAACCTGAATTGCGGTAAGAATAGCTGATCAGTTATCATCTGAGTTGTGAGGCCGTGCTTTCAGCATTTTCGGCAGACTGACCTTTTGGGCAACTTGAACAGGTTTGAAGATGTCATTTAGTTCTTCTCTCCGCTTTCGTTCTTGTTCCTTCTCCCTCTCTTTGTCCATCCGTGCCTTCTCCTTCGACATAGCTTCCTTGTTTTTCCCGACTTGTGCTGCTTGCTGTTTCGCTAGAGCAACGGCTGCCTGGCCTTTAGCACCTTTCTTGTTCTTTTATTTATTTTATTGGTCGAGGGGTCGGGTCAGCTATAAGAAATCGTTTTGTTTTTTTTTTCCTCCACGCGGTCATATTCGGGGACTAACCTTCATGCCGAAACTAAGAAATAAAATGAGTTTTTTTTTGAAGTCAGTGATTATTCTGTGACCAATGGGTTAAGCAAATTAATCCTCACGTTTTGTCGGCCACAATTTTGGATGTCGAGCCACCGGCCTTGTCATTCTTTTTGGGTGGCATGTTGTTCGACTTTAAGGTGCGTCGATTCAGTCAAGTGTGTCGGTTGGAGTGAAGTTGTTAGTGAAGGGTGAAGACCGAGGTTGGTTGGTAATATGGTCGATCTTGAGTTTTGCTTGGTTTTCTCTGCAGTTGAAGCTCAGTTGCTGGGTAGCAGGTATTCGGGAATGGTAATGTTAACGTGATGTGGGCTAAGTTACTGTTTATGTAAGTTACATATCAAATTGAATAAAAACTGTCAGTTTCATACTTTGCAAGTTACCCAAAGAGAAAAGGGACTGTATGTATTCAATTCAACTCTTCAAATGTTATCCATTGATTGCATTCTCATGACCCTGAGCAACTGATCAGTGGCTGCTCTACATCAATATATAGAAGGTGGCTTCACCTCACTCTGGAGCTGTCAATGTAGACTTGCAAATCCTCAATCCTGAACTTAATCTGGGTGTGAAAGAGAGAGTAAAGGAGAGGATTTGCCATTCAATCTGGAGCCCTTGCATGGTGCAGATGTTAATGAGGCCTAGAGTGTTTGACAGGGATGGCTTCCCTTTGATATTTGGGGGCCTCACTGAAGTAGATCAGCCTTGATGGCTAGATTTCTCCGCAAAAAGTCTAACTTTTTGGGTTCAAACCAAAATCTGTGAGGGCTGCAGATTTGACAGGAGGTCATCCAATTAAGACCATCTCCACCGCAAGTTGCTATCCGGGCTGCCAAATCTCAAAGTTTGGCAACTGCGGCGCGTTTTTAGCAGCTTGCGACCAGTTGGGTTTGCACCGCAAGTTGCTATAATAGCAACTGGGGGAATGTGAAAGGTCCCCCCCGGGGAGGCGAAGACTGCACTTCATATCGGCCGGTATCGGTCCTCTTTCTGTAGTGACCGGTACTGACCAAGCAGAGTGTACCCTATCCGGTGACCGGTACCATCCAAAGAGATTGTACACTCTCCAGCGACTGGTACCGGTCACTTCTCCAGTGATCAGTTACCGATATCGGTCTTCAAGAGTCAAGACCTTGTGTCACCGGTACTGGTACTTGCTAGTACATGTAGAATTGTTTTTGACCACGATCAGTCTGTGGGAGTGGACACTGTAGTGACCGATACCGGTCTGTGGGATCGTACATTCTTTGCCACCGATACCTGTCTTGAAGAGTGTACATGTTCTAGTGACCGGTACCGGTCCTAGGTGTTGTGCTGTGTCGGGGGAGATAGGGAATGGCGAGCAGGAGAATCACAAGAAAAATTTGTGATACTGGCGAGGTTGCGCTGCTATCCTGATTCTACATTTGGTATCGCGATAGCAGCAGAGAGGCGAGGTACCAAATTTTTTCAGTGTTTAGCAGCCGCGGTGGCGCTGCTAAATTGGGCTTGCGCTGCTATATCTGGTTTAGCAGCGCAGTTTAGCAGCCGCGGTGGAGATGGTCTAAGCTTTTCAGACACCAAATCAATCATGGGGGTCATTGGAAGTTCTCCAGTTGAAATTGAGTCCTTGCCACAAGATAAGATCAATGATACAGAATTTACAGCAGAGCCAAAGAAAGGTTTCCCTGTCCAAAAATGAATCCCCATTTCTTTTCTCTGTATCCTCAAAGTTCAAGAATAAGCTGCATGGAATCATGAGGTATCAACTACCTTGGTAGGACTTCCACCAAAATATGTGGGAATGTGGCAATGATACCTGTAGGTTTCAAAAATTCTGCTCCAAGCTTAGCTAGTTGAATCCTTCTAGATTTGACAAAATTTATGCCAAAGTCTTTAGATGTGAAGATGCTATCCAAGCTTCTAAATCTTCAATTTAGTCAACTGTGTTGCACTTTTAGCAACTTGCACCCAGTCAATCTTGCACTGCAAGTTGTTAAACTAAAGCAACTGCAGAATGTGAAAGGTTCCCCTCAGAGACCAGCCAGTATTAGCCCTCAAGCAACCAGTACAGTTCATCCAGAGTGTACACTCTCCAGTGACCAGTACCAGTCTTTCAGAGTATGCTCTGTAATGTCAAGGAGTGAAGATGCTCTTGCACAATCATTAGCCAGGTTCCCAGTATCTTCTTGCAAGAGGTTTTCTTAACAATTTCATGAAACATCAAAACATGTTCAAATGAAATCATTTAAAGGGGCTTGGAAAAACGACTCCCAAAATTTAGGTGCCGACTCCCAAATACGGTTGTTGGACGTTGATTGGGAGTTGTTTTTCTAAATGGATGGCCGACTTTGGGAGTTGGCCATCCATTAATGTTTTATTTTTTTAAATATTTTTTTTTGTATTTTTGGGAGTCGGATCCCCAGACCACCCCTCATGCTTGAGGTGATTTGGGAGTTGCTCCCATATGGTCCATGAGAAACAACAACACCATGGACCGGAAGGGATTCCTTCCGGTTGATGAAGTTATTAAGCCCCATTGACCAGAAGGCATTCCTTCCGGTCAATGAGGTTGTTACACCTCATCAATCAGAAGGCATCCCTTTTGGTTGATGAGAAGCAACAACACTATTGACTGGAAGGAATCCCTTCCGGTTGATGAGGTTGTGACACCTCATCACCATTGACCGGATGGGATTCCTTCCGGTCAATGAAGTTATTATGCCTCATTGACCAGAAGGCATTCCTTCTGGTCAATGAAAAACAAAAACACAATTGAACAGGACCGGAAGTCAGGATGAAAGTGGGTCGGGTTGACCCGCAACCCGTCGGGTCTCGGGGCGGGTTCGGGTCGACTTTAGGTAAAAAAAAAAACGAAGTGACCCAACCCGCATGCGACCCGCTTCATTACCGGGTTGGGTTCGGGCAGTGTCTTATGATTTTGGGTCGGCCCAAAAACCCGACTACTGACCCGCTTGAGGGCAGTCCGGTCTGTGGGTCTGCTTCAGCCTTCAGGATCCTGGGAGTGACTGGAGTCCGGACTTCGATTAGTCATCAACAGCAACTGTGCTACATTTGATTGGTAATCAACTGTGCCACCTACACGATGAGGGCTGAAGGACACTTTGATTGATCATTGCAGAATTGTACGACCGATCAAAGTTCAAACCCTCAAGCAACTCTATTGTAAAAAATAAAATACAAAATAAGTTACAAAAATTAGTCTTTTTCTATTTTTATTGCTTAGACATGTAGATATGCTCCAAAAAATTGTTCCAAGCCTGACCCGAATAGTGACCTGTGACCCAACCCAACCTAGGGATGTAAATGGGTCGGGCCAACCCGGAAAGACCCATGACCCGTCGGGTTTGGGGTTGGGTATGGGCAGCCTTCAGGTCCTGCCATAAAGAGCTGACCCGGCCCATCAAGACCCGCTAGAAAGTATTGGCCGGGTTCGGGCAGAGGTTTTTTATGTGGGCCGGCCCACAAACCCGGCTAAAACCCAATTACATAGGGTAGCTGTGTGTGTATTGTTTTTGGATCCTGCCTTCTAAGTTCCAGGCTATTCAAATATTAACACGTAGCTGTGGCTATTCCCCCATCAAGACTCAACAGCTCCCTCAGATCCCCAAATGGCCCGATTCAGAAAAAGTTGCACTTCTGTGCTACCATCTTCCTCAGATTCCGATGACATCCAGATTTCTGAGACTTCCCCCAACACCCAGACAACCTCTGCTACTCCCTCAGCATCACAAAAGAATCGGGACGAAAATGAGCAGGCCACATCAAGTGCTCAAGATGTTGCTACTCATCAAACAAGGAAGCGCAAGACCACCAGCGATATTTGGACACATTTTACAAAGAAGGCAAAGGGTCTGTTATGATTATTAATTTCTTTCAGCCTTGAAGATTTTACTAATATATATGTTTTTTTGCTTCCCAGGCAACGAAGTGAAGGCAATCTGTGTTTATTGTCAAGCGCCGATGGACGGAAAGAGCAAGAATGGAACGAAACACCTTTGGCGACACCTAGAACGATGTAGCTCCTATGCCACAAAGAGCAAACAATCATTACTGAAAGTTTCAGAAACTTCGTCATCAGTATCAACTTGGATTTTTTCCCAGAAGGCCTCTCATGAACTCTTATTGAAAATGATCATCACACACGAGCATCCCTTCACCCTAGTTCAGCAGCCCCTCTTCCGAGCATTTGTGGCCTCACTGCAACCAAAATTCAAGCTACTTAGCCGCGGCACGATCAAGTCTGATATCATCGATTTGTATCAGTCAATGAAAGCAAAACTCATGGTCGATATCACCCAAGTTGATCGGATTGCCTTAACAACTGACATCTGGACCTCTTCTAACCAGACTCCCTACATGGTAATCTCGTCACATTTCATCGATTCCAACTGGACCCTCAACAAACGCCTTCTTGCTTTCAAGGAGCTTCCAACCCCTCACACCGGCTTAGCCATTGCTGATCAGCTGCTTACAACTATTGCGGAATGGAAAATTGCGGATAAAGTTGCCTTTATCACTGTGGATAACGCATCAGCAAACGATCTTGCCATAGCTCGAGTCTTCTCAGTTCTCAAAGATCGAAGTAGTTTGCTACTCAACATGAATGGGAAGTTTTTTCATGTCCGTTGTGCCGCTCACATAATCAACCTTATCGTAAAAGATGGCCTCAAGAACGTCTCGGCCTCCATAAGCAAGATTCGTGATGGTGTGCGATACACTCGAAGTAGCCCTTCTCGAAAGCAGCTCTTCAGTGAGGCAATCAACTTAACCAACATGTCAAAAGGTCAAGCCCTCCCCATACTTGATGTTCCCACCCGCTGGAACTCAACTTACGAGATGCTCAAGTCGGCCACCCCTTACAAAGATGCATTCGATAACTTGGCCTTGCAAGATGCAAACTTTACTGACTGCCCAACCCCTGAGGAGTGGGAGGAAATATCGGCTATGCAAGAGTTCTTGGAAATATTCAGCACCGG